AATTGACCCAAATTTTAACAAACCATGAAAATTTTAAGAGATATTTATTTCGTTTCCATCTGCAGACCAGTGGAATTTGTGCTTGCGGTGATGCTGATGAAGATGCTGAACATATTCTTCTTCACTGTAGTCTCTATGCGAGTGCCCGAATGAATTTAAAGACTGATTTGAGACGTCTTTCAATTTGTTGGCCACCTGTCTTATCAGAACTGGTCAAAAGTATTGAAAGTCTTGCGGCCTTGCGGAATTTTGTTTTTAATGTAAATTTGTAAATTTTTCTCCTTTTGTTTTCTACTTACAACTGTAACCCTCATGCTATACTTTGTTGTGCATGAGGAGTTTTAAGTCGTTTAAATAATAAAAATAAAAAATAAAAACACTGTGTTCGGCGGGAGGCGGAAACAAAATTCGTATCAACCAGCCACAGCAGGGATTCGAACCTCACCTCATCCTCCGATACTTTATTTCATTTTATAACCCTCGTTGAACAGCCGACCCTATTGAGTTTACGACTACCAATGTTCAACTCCGTAGCCTTGTAATTTTGAACCCAATCCTCAGTACAAGCAAATTCCTGCTTCAAGTATTAGACGAAATGTGTCTTCGTGGGGAACTGACCCACAATTGCGTTAAATGGAAAGGAAAACCATGAAAACCTTCCACGGTTAGCCTGGCAGCAAGGGGACTCTAACCCCTGATCCGTCTACCACTGAGGATTACGTCAGCACTGTGGTCGGTACAAGCCGGATGCAGATTTCGTATCGACCAGCCATCGCTGGGATTCCAACCCGGGTTACATCATTGGGAGGCGAGAGCTCTATACTCTGAGACACCACGACTCGCTGTGATACTTTTTATTTTATTTTATAACCGTCGTTGAACAGCCGACCCAATTTCATGGGTTTACGACTACTTACGTTCAACTCCGTAGCCTTGTAATTTTGAACCAATCCAGAAGACAAGGAAACTCCTGGATCAGTACCCCCAGAGGTATTGATTTGTTGTGGGAACATGGAGGACTTTCAGACTCGACAGATTTAACGTGCATCAGTCACCATTTACTACACGGGGAGTCTTCGGCCGGCGAGGATCGAACCCACGATCTCTTGGATATGGGCCCAGCGCCCTACCGACCAGGCTATCCGGGGTTCTCTGATACTTTAAAAGTTTTTCGTGCAAAGAGAAGAGGAATGGAGAAAAAGAATACCGTCTATTTTTCGTAATAATTTTGGGATTCGAAGAATACAGCCTACATTTTCTTCCTTCAAAATTTTAATTTATATTTTTATAGCAATTTTTAAGTGTCGTGGTCAAAAAATCATATAATTTTTTATTTTATATTTTAGTCATATCATCATATAATTGTTTATTTTATATAAGTCTCTAGTTTAGAACTTTCTTTAATATTTTACTTAAAATTTTTTCTGTTTTTTAAATTTATTATATTTTAATATCCTTAAGTTGTTTTAAGTTTGTCATTTTCAAAATAAGTTTTTGAACTTAAGAATTACTTGTTCAGGTGCAACCACCTAAAACAATGGTTAGCATAACCATGACAATCCATCTCAAAATAATTCACGCATTGCTTCAGCGACCACTGTCTTTAGAATTATAGAAAACGATATAAAGAATGTTCTTTTTCTTGAGTAGAAAATATGTTTCTGCAAAAAAGCTAATGTTAAGATTTTTGATAAAGTATATGCTCTCAGCTACTATATTGATCCCTCTGTTACGTTCCAGAAATATTCCTTCCTTAATTAATTAAACGTGCAACAATGAAATTCATATTGTGTTTAACAAAGCTATAAACTGTGCAAATCACTGATAAATAATATAAAAGATATTCCAATACTACTACCACATAAAAGCGGATTCGGCACTTGAACCTAAGGGCCTGCGTAACCAGAGAGATGAAATAATCTGGCATTAACGGTAGAAATGGTTGCCAAAGGAATCTGAAATTATTAATTTTCCATACGTTCAAAAATTAAAAATCATCAAATTATTTATTTTTCTTTCTTTTTGGATTTAAATAAAAGGGGAATTCGTATGTTTATTTAAATTCAAAGCAAATATATGCTATAGAGATGCCTAAGCTAATGTCACTTCAATTACTTCTTCTCTAGAAATCCACCAATGATCAAACAGTTACAAATAGCAACGAATAGGAATAAATTTCTATTGGGATGGGAACATGAATCGTCCAATAGGAATGGTGCAAACGACAATTTTTTGATTTATTCCACTCAAGTGATATAGTTCAGCTTCTGGCTTGGACGTCTCTTTGTATTCACGGATGTCACTATTAAAAATTGGGGGGGGGGGAATTACGGAAAAGTGGGTTTCTCAAATTATTATTATATTTCTTTGATTAGAAAAAAATCCTCCACGGAGAAAAAACAGATGGTTTATTTAAAAAAAAAAATCTGAACCTTACGATGGAGGGAAAAAAACTAAAATTACAACATTGAAGTACAGAATATCGAAAGAAATCACAAAAATAAATAAGCGCACCGGAAGTACACTTGAAAAAATTCATAATCAGAAAATCGAAAATCGGGCTTCGTAGTTTGCTTGCAAATGTACATTTAGCTTCATGTTGAATCTCGTAATTTTAGTGCCTACGGTGTATGGTATAACGTAGGCACTAAAATTACCTGCATACCGTATACCCCGGTATGCAAATCCGGTAGCTAATTTACAATCCAGCGGCTTTTTACAACTCACTCTCTTTTTTGGGGGACTTTCCTCTTGGCTGTAGTTGGTCTCAATTATAATACAAGCTTTTATTTACTTTGAAATTTGTTACCTGAACTAAAAAAAATATGAATCAAGTTTTTTTTATCTTTTTTTTTAGGAAATTAACAAACAGAAGAGCGGGTAGTTAAAGGCAGCTTGATTGGAAAATCGATCTGCTATGCAGACATAGGCCCACACATACACACTCAAATTCCTTATTTTAATATATATTTTTAGATTATTTGTTGCCCTTCCCCGCTTTATTAGATTAAGCAAAATACATATTTAGTATTTCCTCCCAGCAAAATGCTATTGGAATAAAAATTTAATTTCGGTCAACAAGAGTTACTTTGCTTATTTTCTAAAAATCTTTTGACAAAAAAGAGCAGTTACTCGCTTTGGTGCAAATCCCAGGATATAATCAGGGCTGTTTATTGTAATGTTTGCAAGATTGAGACACAAATGTTTCAATGTAGTGATGTATTGTCACTATGGAAATACTACAAAGTGGCTGTTGAGTGAAAAATTTGAGTACCTTATATATTGAGTATTTATTATCATTCATGATAGAGTATTTATTAGCAATATTAAAAGTTCATAGGAACAACTGGCAACTTTCTATTTGTACAAGATGGATATAATTGTGAAATTTTTTGTACCTTAATTTTTATGCTATAGTCTCATCAGGCAATATAACCCCATGATCCATAAAAAAAAAATTGGAATGGAATTGCCCTGTCTTAACAGTCACAGAATGTCAAAACGAACTGAATGTGTAACTTTCTCTAGAAGCGAGGAGGATGCTAACGTTTCTACTAATGATTCTACCAATTTTCAAGAGAATAAAACAATAGAAACGGGACTGAATACTCGAATTGATGAAAAATCTTCAATTTTCTAGCATTTGGCATTTACAAAATTTTTAAATATTGTTAAAGGAACCGCCTTGAAAGTTCCGTAACTAAGAACGAAAAGACGAAGGGATATAGTCGCTTAAACTGAAGAAGTAGAAAAATCCAGCGCTTCTCTGATCAAATTTATTTTCGAAATTCCATCTTCAAAACAAATCGATGAGACAAATTCCTTTTTCGGTAGAAGATTTTTCAAGATACTTTCAAACAACGTAAATTCTATTGCGTACCTACATAAATGTTCTCTTTCTCTTTTTTATTTACTTATTATTACTTTTTTTGTTCATAATTTCTGTTAATAATTATCTACTGAAATTCTATAAGGAGAATCTAACAGTTAAACGAGTTCTTAGCATAAGTACAATTTATAGAAATATTAAATATCTTTTTGAACTGTTTTCAATTTTTAGTACATTTTATGTCCTGAATAAAACATATTTTCAAGTAGTTGATTTAAGAGGAAATTTGCAGTACAAAGCTATTAAACGGCTAAATTACCCCGGTTGTTTGGAAAACTTTGCCCTCCATTTTGTTTAATTTTTATTAAAAGAAAGTAATAAATATATATTTAAACACCTTATATTAATTTAATAAGCCTTCCAACAAGCTTAAAAATTATTAATCTCTCAACAACTAATCGAGAAGAGCGTGGATTTTTTCCCTCTAAGTTTGTAAATGGGGTTAAATAACTCCAGTTAATGGTACCTGATATGAATCAGATTAATAGGAATGTAGAATAATCTTGTTTACATTATATTACTTATTTAATTCAATAGAAACTCTTTTAAAAACACAAAGGATAAAGTGGACTCAATTTGTAAAGACGAGGAATAGCACATTTATAAGAAATTTCCAAATTACTATATTATTGTCATATTAATGAGCTATTCAAATGTAAGAACGGGATTTTCTGATGAAAACAATTAAAAGGTTATGCAAGTCTACAAGTTATATGTCATATATATGACATATATTAATTTTTAGGGCAAGTCATCTTCATTATTTCGGAAATGGAAAGCATTATTCAATCTTGCATAACCGCAAAAATTATAGGCATTTAATCAATCAAAACAATCATATTATACTAATTCATTTGTCATAGTTTTTTTTTAATTAATCAACTTTCATCCCCAATTCTACTTTTTATATGATTATGTAAGTAGATTTTTGTTCAACAAACAAAGATGAAAGATTGCCTGCTCAATAAATTTTATTACAACCGGAGTTCCAGATTTCATAAACGACGATTGTCATAAGACAAATTTGAGGGTGAAATCTACCTTAACATTTGAACTTTGCAATGAATGAAGAAAAAAACTCGTCTGGAAAAACATGTTCTTGTATCCTCGATAGTTCTTACCAAAGTCATTCTAGTCCTTTCAAACAATTTAAAAAATTTTGACCAGACGTTCTTTTTTATCATCTTAAAAACAATATTTTCCTAAAGGCCCCTTTCAACATGATTGGAATCTACGTAGCATTGTTCTTAGCCGTCATATGCAGTGCAAAAGGTAAATTAAATTTAAATTATTTATGTTGCCATCATTACTATTTTACTGGGCTTTAAGGGAAAATAAAGGTGTTACCATTTTCAAAAGAATTGGGTCACCTGCATCCTGAATACGACGGCATTCTTAGTGGAAAATGTCACGTGATTCGATGACGTATATACAAGATTTTTCTTGATTTAAATAGTAATTTTTTTTAATTGTGCTTTAAATCAAATGCCTATTTTATTTTCATGTTTTCAAATAAAAAAAAACCTGTTCCATTATCTTGGTCAACATCCAATAAGTATTTTCCCTTAAAAAATCTTTATTGTTATCATTTCTACAAGTCTTAGAACAAATATTTAGAGAAAAAACTTGAAACAATGAATGCAGTTTTTTTTTTAAAATTATGTCATTTCAAGTAGCCATTTAGTATAATCCTAAATTATTTGCTGAGCTGAAATTGTTTGTGGTAGTTGTTCTGATTATTAAAGTTATAATAATCTACATTTTTATTTTCCCCCACAAACTAAAATAATAATTAAATGTTTAACAAAATGAAAGAAAAATATTATTTCAATACCAACTATTTGTTATTTATTCCTCGAATATTTATAAATATTCTATAAATGCAAACTCATATGTTCTTTTGAACAGTTGGAGAAAAGGTTAGAAAAACTTACATAGCTTTTGTCACAAAAATTTTAAAATCATAAATAATAGTCATAAATCATAGATAAAAAGTCATAAAAACATTATAGTGGTAGCATTATCTATTATATATAATTCTCTTACGTGGCTCCCAAATTTTGGCTGTATTTCTTTTCCGCCGGTGGCAACGTTTGCTTTGTTTTGAAAACACCAAAGCATTCTGCCTTTTAATGATGTGTTTCTGATCTAATATATATAATTCTCTTACGTGTCTCCAAATTTTGGCTGAAGTACTTTGTACAACTAAATAAGATTCTTTTCACATCAGTTAAATATTTACTTTATTTTCTTCATTCATAGAGAAAACAGTCGGCAAAGAATTCTGTTAGGTTAAAAAACATTTCGCTAAAAAAATAACGAATTCTAAAAGAAATAAAAATAAACAACTTAAAAAATAAAAATGCTGTTGCCAGCCATAGAATTTTTTGAAAGTTAACTTAGCAACATAAATCAAAATGACATAGAAGCGCAACTAGATCAAAATTATGATACCTGAGCGCTTGACGTAACAAATCCTTCAATTCTAAAAGTGTTGTATCGCCAAATGCCCAAATTAACAATTGTGTTCTTAAAGAAATTCTATAAAAAGTTTTAAATAAACAACCTACTTCTACAACTGCTTCTTGAAGAACTTGGCTCATTGATTAAAAATATTGTTTTAATTTTACAGTACTAACTTTACTTCTACTTTCATTATTGCTATGACCCTCTTTCATTACATTTTACAACTTCATGCTAAATTTGAGGACTTTAAGTTGTTTTGTGGTTGAATACTGACATTTAGAAATGTGTACATAAAAAAAATAATATTTAGAGGTTAAGAGTTGCCTCAGAAAAATTTGAATTGTTGACATTGAACTTAACAATGGAAACAATCGTTTTTGTGAAAAATTGAATTGTATTGTTGACATCAAAACTAAAAATATTGTGTTTCAACTTAACAATACTACCTTAATTTATACTTTAGAATTGCCTCGGAGAAATTTGAATTGTTAGCAATGACTTAAACAAAAAGTTTTATTTTAACTGACAAATACTATATTATAATTTTAACTTTTTCTATGACTATACTCATTTTCTTACTCTTTTCTTTGTTTTTTATACATTTTATATTTTTGTGATAAAATAAAAAACTTATAGTTGTTCTGCTTCTGAACACTGATGAAAACACAAAATGATGGGCTTCATCAACAATCAAAAATAAGTTGTAATTAAAATAAGTTTTACAAATTCCATTAGGTTAGATTCAGAGAATTCAAAATACAAAATTATCTTCATCAAAGCCGATGCTTTACATCCGGCGTTCAGTGGCAGACTACTATTTCATATTGTTTTACAACACATGGCTTTAGCCCTCTGGTGGGAAAGACTTTAAAACAAAACTTACAACAGTTACTTTTCTCAACAACTGAAATTTAGAATAGTGTGATTAAGAAAAATATGTGAACTGTTTGCAATTTCAAATTAATATTGAAATGTACAGGTTTAGAATTTTCTACAGTGAAAAGTTTTCGGAACTTCAGTATTCAAAAAAGTATACAAAAACTAGACGTTAAGAACGTATCCAATGAGCGAGCAAAGCGAGCATTGGATTGCGAAGCAATCCGAAATGAACTGCGAAAGCAGTTCCGGGGGTTGGTGAGCGCCAGCAAACAGGGGGCGAAGCATCCTAGTATTAAATAATATTGATAAAAAAAATATTAAAATATAGGTGTAACTTTTTAACATATATTAAAAGGAAATTGTCAGAATAAACATTTTTTTTTCTTCTTATATGTAATTTTTCTACTAAGTTCGATAGAATTTTTTACTTATTTATTTTTAAGTGTTCTTCAAAAATAACCTGTCACATACTTCTTGAGAAACTTCCTTCCAAAGAGGAAAGTTTCCTAAATTTTAACTTTTCCCTCTGTAAACTACCCAAGCTTCTCTATTCTGTTCCCAAACCAAAAATATTTTTTGGGCCTCTTAGCCATACCATATGGTTCTTGACGAAAGTTGCATGTTCAAGGGACTGTATTGTTCCCCCAAAAGTTGAAGCTCCCCTCAGAAGTTTTTCAAGAGACATTTAAAGCTTTGATTATGGGGAAAAAGTGCCAGCTGTTGAAGTCAGCGAGCTAAAACGGAGCGGAAATATTAAATAATAATTTATCTGGTTCTCATGTATTACATTATAAATTTTTCCATTATTTCGACTCCCACTTTTACTTGTTTTAAATCATTAACCATAACTGTCCAGCTCTGAATGTTAGAATTTTTTTAAGAATTTTTGCGAAATTTTTTTATTTATGTTTTGTTTTTTGAATAAAACATGATAAAAAAAATTTATTATTATTTTTTTTTTTATTTTTTTTTTTATTTCGATGACCTTTATTCGTTTGTATTTCCACTCCATCCAAATTTTTTAAAAATAAATGAATTCCATTTTCTAATAGAACCACTTTTCTATCTTTTTTATAAGTAAATAAACAAAATATACCGAGTCAAAAATAAGACATTCAAATAATTACACAAACTCATTTTGGATGATTTTAGATTAATTTTACCTTGCCTATTAGAAAACTTGAGTTAATTACGATCCGCTTATTCTTACGTAAGTATTGTTTTTCCAAGTTTAATTTATTTTAGCATTTCATAAGGGAGTTTTCTGATAAGCAGAATTTAAAGTGAATGTAAGACTCATGTCCTTCTCCCACTTTTGCCGGAAAAAAAGGCAAATGCAAAACTTATATACTTGTGGTAATATGATTCATATGAGATATGAATCATATCTCATATGAATCGTTATCTTGATGGACAGCTTTAGAGGTTTACCTTCTGCTTAAGTCATAAATTAACTTCAAAATGACAATTTAATACAAGAAGGTTTGATTTCTATCAAAAGAAAGTTGAAATGCTGAAATAAGAATGAAAAAATTAGCTTACAGAAAAGCAGTATTGTCATGTCAATCCAACACACTCCTGCTCAAACCATGACAGCAATGTCAGAAAATTCATCAGTGTTGCTAAGAAGCAATTCTTAGTAAAAAAGGTTGAGATCTGGGGTAGGTAAAATTACTGAAGAGAAAATATTAAAAAAAGGACTTTTTCAATCAATTTTTTTTTTTTTTTTAAAGTTTAGAAACCACGAGCAAAATTATAGTTTAATTTGTGATGTAGGAATTAAACTTGATTTGCATTTATCTGAATCCGCTAATTTATCTTCGATTTAATGGTTAATTTTTAATTTATATTAAAATTTATGAGGTCTCACATAATTTGAAGCCCAAGGCCTAGACTAATGCATTATAGGCCTGATGTGTCAATTAGTACGCTTCTTTTTAAAGATTGTGAAGGAGCATTGTCACTGATATCTTTACTGTAATGGTAATAATTTTTTCGATACTTTTTTACCCAGAAAAATTTAAAGTATATTTCAAAAAAAAATTGCATTTGTAAATGTTGATGTTGTTTTGCATTTATAATTGTTTTAATGTTTTTTTTTAAAAAAAAAAGCACAATTTGCTATTTAATACTTCAAAATAATAAAATTTGATTAACTCCTTAATTAACGACTAAATACAGATTGATTAAGATATAAAACTTTTGATGTAAATTAAACTGATTTGTTTGTTCACGTTTTACCACTTTCTACGTCAATCCTTGTGACAGTGACAGATGTCCAAAATCAACCAGCCAGCACGTGATTGCTTAAATGTTGACACATCTGTTGAAAGCTAACACGCTCTGATTAAAAATAATGATATTCCTCAATTTTCACGCATATTTTTTCCCACTATGCTTTAATGAACTAAAGAATGTATACCGAGCTGAAAATATGCCTGATTTCAACACCCCGACACGTGCTTATAAGTTTTAGAGTAGTTTTCGAACCCACGCGCACAATGGAATTTTTTTTTTTTTTTTAAATCAAAATCGAAGGGTTCTTCTCTTCAATAAACGTTGTAATTCTCAGTTAAAAGTAAATTTTTTTACTGTAATAAGCTTGCAAATAATAGAGTTGTATTGATACAATCGTTTTTTCAAAGCTATTCTTTCTCTCTTTAAAATAAGTTTTTTTTTTTTATTATATTTAAATATTGGCACATATTAAGACGCTTTTCATTCGAAACTATAGGAATATTTCTTTTCAAAACATTGTATTATTTTTGTCCTTAGAGTAAATACTTTTAGTGAGAAAAAAAGAAGAAGAAAAAAAAAACGTTTCAAAAGATACAAATTATTAGAGCGTATTTAAAAACCTATAATTTTATCTATTTATTTACTTTTTAAAAAAAACTGTATATTTTTTTTTAAAAAATCTTAAAATGTGAATTTAATTTGTCCGATGAAACTGAAAGGTATGTGCCCGTTTTCTCCCAAAACGTTTTTAGAAGGGCTGTCCGCCCTGCCTGCCCTTTGATCCCTATAAATGCTCCCTCTTTGTCCTTTTTGTCGTATTCATTCCATTTTTTAAAAAAATAGTTTACTATTTAAATCATATTCCATAATCATATTCCATTTTTAGAAAAGTAGTTTACTGTTTAAATAATAATTACACACTGGTAAAATTATCTGTGTTTATAGGCTTAATTCTGCTAATAAGTTTAATTAATACTATTACAAATACAGTCAAACCCCGCTATAGTGAACATGGTTTATAGTGAACTCCCGGATTTAGTGAACGAAATGTTCGGTCCCGTGCCTTGCTATACACGTATAATGTTATTTTTTGTGGATATAGTGAACCAAAAATGTCAGGAAGTTGGATATAATGAACTTTTTTCTGTCTTCGACTGATTTTTTTCCTCATTTTTTGTGATAATTTTGAAATTTTTACTTTAAAATAAATACATATACCGATTTTTAAAGCCATCTATAGAGGAAATTTAGCGATTAGCTTCTTTTATCTCACTTTCCCATCCCTAAACAAACCAAGCAGATATTTCCAACCCACGCACATAATGCACCTGTAAGATGTCAGTGGGATTAATATGCATTTTCTGTCAGAGGGAATGAGTGAATTATTCATTATTAATCAAAGGGTTGGACACTAATATGTGTTGATAAGGCTCTCATTTCAACTCCTTTTTGCTCTCAGTTCAGTTAAAATAAATCCTGCAAACAAGTGTCTCAAATTTAACTATGGCGAGCAGTAAACGTAAAACGTTCTACATTGATGATAAAATGGGCATAATCAGAAAAATTGAATGGAATATAAACTATACAAATCTGCAGTTTGTAGCATATGGAAAAATAGGCAATTAATTATTTCTACTCATGAAAGAAATTTAGATGGCAGAAAAAAGTTGAGAAAAAGCAGATCACAAGGATGTTGAAGAATCGTTACTGAAGTGCTTCAGCATTCAAAGAAGCCGCAATCTTCCAGTATCTGGACAAATGTCGATGAATTTGCTAAGCGATTTTATGACACTACTTTTATGTGCTACAATGGCAGGTTAGACAGGTTTAAAAAGCGGAATAACCGAAATTCAGGAAAAATTATCTGATAGTCAGGAAATGTTTCCATATCTATGTTGAGGATTGCTCATCAGCTAAATATTACTAATTTTTTTTTTTTTTTGTAAGCAGGACGAAGAGTAATGAAAAATAACACATTTTTCGCTATTACATAATATTTTTCAGTCATTTATTTAAATAATGTGTAATAAAAGGGAGGAGTTTGGGAACCATTAGTTAAATTGCCTGCGTAATGGATATAGTGAACACCCGGTTATAGTAAAAAAAAAATTTCAGTCCCTAGAAGGTTCACTATAGCGGGGTTTGACTATATTTACTTTGTCAGGATTATTCTCAATTCGTTTAATGTGTATAAGTATCTCTTTTTTCAGCGAGCGGGGGAGGGGAACACTGATAAGTTTTTCAGTTATTTCAATTTTTAAAATTATTTTTTAAATAAATCCCTTTTTAAAAAACTGCAACTGTAAATATTTATTTTCTCATAATTTTCAATTTAAATTACATAAAAAGCTTTCAAGTAGTTTATCAATAAATAATTTTTGTCAGTTTACTTTTTGAAGAAAATTTATTCCCAGAGATTGTCTATTAGCACGTCTTTAATTATTTTATATAACTACGAATTTTTCTCTTATTATCATAATGAGAGCGTACTATTTTTTTGAAATATATACAAAAAATAGTATATGAAGGTAATTTGAAAAATTAAGTTTTCACAGAATATTACACACTTTGATCGATTTTTACAGTGTTAAATTTGTGTTTTTTCAAAACACGAAGTGCCTTTTTCTGAGAGGCAGATCCCTACCCTTTCAGTTTCCTAGGGAGAACACTGCATGTGCTTTCTATTAGAAGCCACCATCACTTTTACCTGACAAAGAAACCAGTTTTGAATGATTTTAAACTCATCTTTGATTTACCTAATAATGTTTCGACAATTTCTAACAGAGTTTTGATGCATATAAAGATCATTATTGATTGTAGAATAAGCTACCTTTACAGCCAGATTCACCTTCCACTTTCAATGAGGTCTTTGCAGAGTGCAAAAGAATGTTTATGGATCTCTGGAGGGTTCCTCCTCCGCATAGTTGGTATTTCAGAAAACGAACTGGAAGTGCCTTGCTTTTTGAGGGACCTAGAAGCCAGCAGACTTGTTTATCTCGCTTTGCAAGTGGTCACTTGAGGTGTCTCTCGTATGTTCAGGGGCAAAAGACTTTTGGTCTTTGCACTAAATGTAGGACTGCTCAGGCTTCGCCCGAGTATATTCTAAACTGTATCGATATTAAGATCGACGAGGTTTTTTCAAAACCTCACCTGTTTTTAGACTTTCTGGACTTATGGAATTGGTCTAATTAAGGTGGACTTCTTGGGGATTAGAAACAGCAACAACAGAATAAGCTAGGTCCCTTTCTGAAGCAACACCCATTTTAATATAAAAATTCAATTTCTAAGATGCAATCACTTAAATATAATGAAAATTTAGGCAATGACGTATATTTTCCTTATTCATATTAATTTCTTTGTTTTATTTCAGTTGCTGCGGAATTCAAATGCCCGAACAATTCCGGATACTACCCTGATCCGGAGCAATGTGATTTGTATTACGAATGTCGAAAAGGAGTAGCCAAAGAAAAACTGTGCAAAGATGGCATGGTCTTTAATGACAATAATCCTCTATACGAAAGATGTGACTTCCCATTCCTTGTTTCATGCAGAGATCGAGTTTATTTACGTAAGTAAATTGCTAGAGAGATTTAGCACTTTCACGTAACGTTCCTCGCTGCACAAGTTCCGTTAGAACTGAGATTTTTCTGTAATAACTGCACTGCGCAGAACTTACATAAAAGCCAATGGGTAAAGAAGTTTCAGCTTAATTAACTTGTAGGCTAGTTTCCAAGTAAGTTGAAGGATGAAACAACTAGGGTTAGATAATGTCAGACTCGTAAATAGCTCACACAGATCAAAATTTGAACTGTTTTGAGATACAACTGTAACGGCCTCAAAACTATTAGTATTATCGGCTTAGGTTTGGTTTCATTTGATAAATATGTAACAATACCTCACTTGTCTAGATAGCAATGTTTAAATTTCTCCCCCTTTTGATACCGTCGTCGATAAGTTTAAGACTTTCGATTAAAGCTCAGATTAAAGACGTCGATTAAAGCTCCCCTCTGAGGAGGAAACAAACTTTGCATGATAACTAAATTTCGCGCACCTAAACCTTTGAAACATAGGCTTCCAACGTGGGCACTGAAGATTTCTAAAAGAGGTGTTAAGTATTTCCAGAGGATTAATAACAACTTACAGAAGAAATTTTTATTAAATAATAAAATTATGAAATAGAAATTCTATTTTACTAACACTATTTTAATGCAACTTTTTTCGCTATAAATTTAAGGTTTCTAAAAATGTTTCCACTATTTCTCTGAAATTTCTAATAGTTAACTTACAAAATATAACTGTCTGAGTTGGAATCTCAGAAATAAATATACTGAACAGCATTGACAGATTGCAAATTGCCTCAATTCTCTTATAAATTTAATTTTTTTTAGAGATATACATAGAATATCTACAGGTAAATTGCAAGTAAAATTTAACTTCCATTGCAATGGCATCCTTCTTATGCGAGTTATGAGTACTTATAACTTTTACGTATTTTCATAAGAAAAAATTAGTAATTACATACTTATTGGTTAGTAGGAATTTTCAATAAATTAACGTCATAATAAAAGTGTTAAATAATAAAAATATTAAACCCCTAAAAAAGGAGTTGAAAAAAAAAAAAATTTTTATGGGTGCGTTTAAAATTTTTTATCTTGCAATAAAGTGAGTGACAATTCAAAAGAAAGGTATGAAGAACTTTAAAAATATAACAAACTTTTCCCCAATGCGCTTTTTATTTTTCCCTTCGAGGGATAAAAAACGAGACTAGATTCCTGATACTAAAAATAGGTGCATTACAATCTGAAAAATTCGTCCCTAGTTTAATCAATAGAACATTCGAAAGTTTGAACTTCCTTTTATCATTTTTGCATTTTTTGTTTTTTGCTAGATCTGTGAAAACAACAACGTAAAATGAAATATTTTTACCACAATTATCGCTAGAATTATGTTGACTTAACTTATTCTATTAAATAAAATTAATTAGACAATTAATATAAAATTTTTTAAAAAACTAAGACCTTCTAAGGATTTAGTTCTCCGAAATTTAGTCTTTACTTTTTGAGGACACTACACTGTATTCAAGGCCATTCAAAATTATAAATAATAATTTAATATAGTAAAAATTAAAATTAAACAATCTACAATGCGTGCAAACTGATAAATAAAGAATGAGAAAAAATAACAAGATCAGTTTGATTTGAACTACTTTGCAATAATTTAATTCCTTGTTACAATAACTGATACTGTTATTCGCGATCGCAACGCTCGAGTACGCCCTCTAGCGGGAGCCTGTAAATATCAGACATTAATTTATCACGTTATCATTTAGTTCCATCAAAATCCTCGGCAGAATCAGACGCCAATTTTTTAGCAGCAAATAAAAATTTCCCTAAGGAAAAGCCGAAAAACTTGAAAAAACTCTCCAGAATATTGGGATATCTTTCAGACCCAGATCACGCCGAATATTTATAGAAAAATTTCTCAATAATTTTTAACTTCTATTATCAACAAACTTGCAACTGATAACTTCCGATTTCGCTATCTCATACTGCTGCAGATGTGTGTATTAAGGTAAAATGCATTTCTTCTGTCTTCAATTCATTACAAATTAAAGTGAAGTCAATATTGCTTTCGTCGTTCCAATTAATAAATATGAATTCAGAACGCACAGAACTGTAATAGTTACAGAATATTCTTCTTCGTTATAGAATAGTATATATTTCTGTATCCATATAATTCGGAAAACAACAATAAAAAATTATCCAAATTACTTGAAATAGTGCCATTTGTGCTGATTCTTAATTAATTTATATCGTTTTCTTGGTAAGTATTTTTTAGTTTTGAAAGAATAATTTCAACTAGAATTCTGTTTTTAGCTACATATTCAAATTCATATCAAGATCTTACAATTATAAAATTTTGCTGTGTAGTATGTTATCTCAAAGTAATGAAGGGATAAACTATGTATCTATTATTTGAGAATAAAGCTTTCAAACAAAGAACATATCATTTTGGAATTCTCCGGAATTATAAATCAGGTAAGTGTTATGATTTTTATTATAAAAAATTTGCTTGTAAATATTTTTTTTCTCATTTGATGATAGTTCTCTACAGAATGCTTTTTTACGTCTGTATAGCCTTTGGACTTCAAGGCATATAAATATCTTATTGCTGTCTATAGAGTTTACTTTTTCTAACATATTTCAAAGTAAAAAACGTATTTTCTGCTATTATTTAAAGCTCGGGTCAAAAAAAGATAAGGTTTAGCAACTATCGTAATTTAATTGATTATCTGGAATGTTAAAGAAGTACTCAATTTTACTTCCAGAGGAAGCCAAACCAAGTGCAAATTGTCCCAGGAGAAACGGTATTTTTGCTAAAGAAGGCAGCTGCAAGACATTCTTTCAATGCACCGATGGCGCCGCAGCTAAAATGTCATGCCAAAACGGCTTAGCATTCAATCCAGCTGCAGGTACATGCCAATGGAAATATCTAGTACCTGACTGCGGTCAGGAACGAGCACGTAAGTACATTTCCATAGTCTTTTATGAAACGATAAAAGGCTTAGTTATTCATAAAACGTTGTTTTTTTTTTATGTTCTTTTAAAAGCAATTAGCCTTTTCGTCTTTAAATGCATAATAAGGGATAGATAAATTAACTTAAAGAATTTTTTAAAAAAATTGTAGAATCTCAATTCAATTATAATATCTGTAATTATTCAGTCATGAAAACTATTCACATTTCAATTTATTCTTTTTTAGAGCAAAAACATTCTTTGCATTCTCTTTCAATCGTATATTGGAAAAAAAAATTCAAATTTTAATCTCTTTTAATAAAATTTTGAATTTTAATAGTCAACAGTTTTAGAATTTTTAGCCACAACTATGGCAACCCGTATAGTTTATAATACGAATAGTAATAGTTTATTTTTAATCCTCACGAAAATCAGTTTTTCTTCTGACTTTCAGCCTTATAAATAAACAAAAATTAAAACATTAAGGCAACTATAGAAAAAATTTGCTCACAAAGTTAACCCAGTTGGCATTTATGTAATATCAGCAATGCACATGTAAATCAATAATAAGACAAAAAAAATGTTAATGTTTTGGCTTTTATAGACGTTTCATAAAGGAACACTGAAATAGATTAACTAAATTAATTTCTTTTAAATAAAGTTTAAAAAAATGTATAGTAGGGTAAAAGTATAATAAAAATAATATAAATGCGATTCACTACAAAATGAAGGAAATTGTGATCTCTGCAAGGCAATCACATGTTAAACATTGGCAAAATGGTTGTTGTCTAATTATTATTATTATTATTATTATTTTTTTTTTTGGAAAAGAAACTTTACTGTGTTTTCATCTTGGACATCTTTAACTGTTAATCCTGAACTGCTCGGTACACAATTTCGCAGACATATTTAAATGCAGCTCAGATACATTCTGTGTAAGTTCTTTTGATGATTAAATAGACATTGAACAACCAATCGAGATCAATATTGGCATTTTCGGATTGGTACAATCTCTGCTGCATCATACACCCGTTTCGGATTTACAAGTTCATGAAATTTGATTAGAAAGCTTGGCTTTTTTTCAATTTTACATGAATAGTGAATGAATCATTTATATTGCGTGGAAGACAGTCTACGGTCTTGTGCAAGCTATTGGGTACGTTGACAATGGATTCCTTTATCCCTAACTGGTGATCAACACCTAGTTCTCGTATTTGCATGAAAGGGCTTCGGAGAGTCACCATTCGCTCTTCGGTAGTGTTCAAATTCTCTCAACCACTTTGGTACTTTTGTGAGGGTCGGGCTTCTTGCTTGCTCTTGCGAACGAAATCCTTTCGATTTTTCCGTTTGTGCGTAACGTTTAGGGGATTCCTGTCTACGCTCTTTGTCTTTTTCAGCCTCGGTAAGTTCAGGCTGTGGCATCGTTTTTTCTTGCTTTAACTCTAACTTTTGGGACAGTGTCAAGCAGTTTGGACGCTCTTTATTTGTGATAGTCACCTGAATTAGTATTGAAAACGATCCAGTTTTAACTGTAGGTTAGAATTTTTGATTCTTAATTAAAACAAAAATATAGTTCAAATGATGAAATGATCAAAAATATTCACAACTCGAGAAGTTTTTCAAAAGATCTCTCTGGTCCCATATCTGGAAGAAAAAAAAAAAAAAACTTATTTACTTAATCAATGCATTGTAAATTTTACTTACTTTCGTTTTTTTTTCATAAAAAAAGAATTCTAAAAAAATTATCAAACAGCAGCGGTCGCCATAGCAACGCATACTCACTGTTTACTATTACTCTTAATTATTGCAGTCGAAAAGTGAGGACGCCATGAAATCCAAAAAAATTTTGCCAATGGGTAAAAACAATTGAAAAGAAGCTTATTAAATAGAAAGGGGAATTTAAAAAATATATATACAGCTATTTCTCTTGTTCAAGCTCAGCTAGAAGTGAAACTAAGCTAATAGAGCCCATTTCAAACCTCATAAAAATAAATACAGCAAAGATATATTAATATATGTATTGCGCATGAATTCATGCGCGCTATTTATTATTATTTCATTTAATTGTACATGCGATACAACATCAAAGCTACTCTTTTTCTCTATAACTTTTAGAAATATGCATTAAAGTTAACAGTACGAGAAAATTCTGCTCTATGTGGTTTCTGGTGTTAAACAAAAGGGCTTCATTTTATGTTCTAACACGAGGAGCAATTTTTAGACAATAATTTAAGTTAGATATCTCAAATTGACATGAAGGAAGGGATTTCGAAATTGATTGGTTGAACTAAACAATCCAGAATGACAACTATACGGAGCGCAGTTATAAATAAAAATATCTTACATTAACGAAAGTCATTCCCTTAAAAAAAAAAATTATTATTTCAGAAAATAAACTTTAACAGGTTATTTTCTCACAAGTATTCGATAATAGTTTGAACCCTAAAAAAGATCTACATTTTATTTATTTTTGTGAGGGTTTAAGCAAGTTTCATTAAATAGATGTGCCAATAGTACCAGTGCTCGTAAAAATATTGGGGCCCTAATTTTTTACTGATCGAAACAAATCTAAGATAAAGTCATACATTTTATGATCAGACAGGAAATAATGAGATTCTGCCTTTCGATTTCAGGTTAACAGGAAACAGTATCAAGAATTGGAAGATAAAAAATCGTTTGGCCTTGAAGTTTCTAAAGCTTTGAAGAATAACGGAATATTTTTTTAGCAATTATAATAAAGAAAAATTCATTTTACTAGTATGTCAACTTATTTGTGTTCGCCTTCTTTAATCCTTTAATGCCAAAATCGCAACTATACAATATTTTGTACAGTTGCGGAGTTTTGTGTCTATGCCACTAACCAATCCCGAAGATTACTTCGGCGATAATTGTTGTTTCTTGACATAAAATAGTTTTTCTTACTAAAGTTTAAATTATTGACTAAAAATATATGCAGGGGTGATTGTGAGCCCAAGTCAAAATTCCGGAAAATTTCTTGAGCAAAAAAAAAGTTTAAATCAAAAAATTAGAAAAAAATTTAAACAATGTTTTTTTTTTTCCTTTTTCTCAATATTTCTTAGTTTACTTAAAATATATTTAAAATTTTACACATACCTATACCATTTTCACATACCTATGATGACCTGGAGAAGCAATTAAAATTTACAAATATGTCTTTCTTTCTTGAGTTTATGATTATAATAGCTATTTACAGATAAAAAATTAATATTAATCTAGAATATTAGCTTATTTGGCAAATAAAACAAATAAAATAAACTGCGTTTTTAAGTTCCACCTTTGAAAATTTGATTTCCGGAAACTTTTGTGATCATTGATTTTTTGAAACGTCTGAACCTTCGATCTCCGGAAACTTCCGGATCACGGTTAGCGAAAAATCCGGATTTTTGCCGGAGCACAATCAGCCCTGTATATGTACTAAAAAGAATCATATTAGCTTACAATTGTGCCCTTACGATATTTCTATTATCTATTAGTGAACATAAATAATTTTGCTTATTAGCTACTTTTTAAAATAACTTTTAAAGCAGTGATTCTCAACCTTTTTTCTGTTGCGGCACACTTTTAACGATTTCAAAATTTGACGGCACACAATGAAAAAAATTAGATTAAAAGTTGTTTACTTACCTATAATTAAAAGTGTTAAATAGTCTGTGATCATAACTTTGAATCTGAAATAAAATAATATGTTCTACAAAAGCACGATTTTTAAGGGAATAATTATTTCTTTCAACTAATCTCTTATTAGTTAGTAACAGTTATTTTTTTGCTAGTTATTAATTGTTAGCTTGTTTTCTGTAGGTGTTAACAGTTAGTTTTTTTACATTACCTGTTATTTTCTTGTTAACTAGTCTTTTTGCTAATTATTAATTGTTAGCTTATTTTTTAGTTAGTTATCCTTTGTCAATTGGTTTTTTAGTTATCCGTTGCTAATTTGCTTATTAATTGCATAGCTTACTTTAATGATTAGCTTTTATTTCCGTTTGAAAATTAATATTTAGCTTGCTTTCCCTTGTTAATTAATAATTTTAATAGTCGTTAAATTTCCTACTTATTTCAATATTTTTTAAAATTGTGTGTCGAAGACAATTTAAACACTTCCATCTTATTTTAACTCATTTTAAGATTGTCAGAGACAAGACAATCGCTGACAAAGATGTTCACGCTGTTAAAGCGTGGAAAAATTACAAAATAAATATAAATATATATATAGGGTAAACCAACCAGTGAAGGAACATTTCATATATATTGATTCAAAATAAGAATTTGAAAGTTTTTCTTTCGATTGATTGGTAACAATAGCTTACTGCCAAACAATAGGAAGTCATCTAGCAATGTTTTGGATTACCTGGTCAAATAGACTTCTCTGGAAAAATTTTTGAATTTGTTATTATCTCTGCAACACCTTGTTTCTTTGAAAAAATTATAAGGTGAGTGTTTGTATTTATATGTTTGAAGTGGAATTAATTGCATGTAATAGTTTTATTTTTCTCACTGTGAAAAAGAGAATTCAAAATATAGTTATTGAAGTTACGTTTTATTTTTTTTAAGCATCATAGCATAATAAAGTACTGAGATAAGGGGGTGTTTATTCACTGGATCACCAAACGATGAAAAACCAGTGAAGGAACAAGTGTTCCTTTACTGGTTTTTTTTCTAAGTTAATGAAAATAAAAGATAAACTTTAATTTTCTTGTACCTTTAGTGATGTTCCGCATCAAAAGTATGTTAAAAATACGAAAAACAACTTCTAACCAGTGAGGGAACAGGCATGTTCCTTTACTGGGCATAGATTTCCCAGTGAATGAACAGTATGTGTTAATATGTTGACACTTTAATTTTCAATTCATGATTAAAAAAAAAAGTTAACATTTTCCAAGTATTTATATGTTATAATTTCAAGAATAGGCTTGTTTTTAAATATTTGTATGGCTTATAAATTCATAAAGAGCATTAAAAAATAACCAAACTTAAGTGTTCCTTTACTGGGTGTTCATTCACTGGTAAAAGCTGTTCCTTCACTGGGTCTTCTTACTACTTGTTATTTGAACCTCCAAAACTTTAAAACAATATTATGTAAGTTCTCGACAATTTTTTTTTTTACATAATTTGCAATTAGTAATAAATATGTTGACACTGTCATTTAACTAAAATTACGAATTTTGAAATTAATAAGATTTTTTAAAAGGCAAGCGAAGCTTAAGTGTTCCTTCACTGGTTAGTTTACCCTATATATACATTTCTTTAACTTTACTCATAATAAAAAGAGCATTATAATTTTTATTGTATCATTTCTAATATTTGGCGGCACACAAAAATGCCGCGGCCCAGTGGTTGAGAATCACTGTTTTAATGGTTTGCTGTTATAACAAATTTGGCGAGTTTACAATTGTAAAATTTTCGCTTACCAAAAACAGGCTGATATGTAAAATAGAATTTGTACATGCATCACATTATGCATGAAGCAACGAATCTCTTTAATTGCTCATAATAACATATTAATGTAATTTGCATCAAAATATAAAGAGAGGAAAACAGTTAAAAAAATTATTTAAATACGTCTATCTAAAATGTAGCGAAATAAGGTAATATCACAGAATAACTATTTTTGTTTTTAACTCTAATTTCGTGGGAGGGGGGATCTAGTAGAGAAAAATAAAAACATTTTACAGATACTTCACTTTTTTAATTAAAGATACAGTACAGAACACGTTATCCGAAAATCAGAAAACTGGAACGAAATTCGATAAATTTTCCCGCCATTTTAAAAAAAAAATTTTTTTTCCTCATAAGATTTCAGGATTTTTCTTTCCTTTCTGAAAGATGTTTACCTAACCATCGTTTTGGAAATAATCATAACTGTATTACTTCATCGATTTTTCTCCTTTTTAAGATTATTTCCAAAAAAAAACAACGGTTTTTTGCAGCGATTCAGAAAACCGGAAAAATCAGTTATCCGGAATAGCGATGGTCCCGATCGTTCCGGATAATCGGTTCCCTACTGTACAAGAATATTACTCCTAATACCACCTAACAAACATACATGGTACTTTATTATGTCAAAAAATCTGTTTATTACAGAGGAAAACAATACCTTCATGACTTAAATTAATTTCATGCAGATAACCAAAAATGGAAATTAATGTGTGATATGTCACTAGGATCCTACTATGTGATTTTCAGGCCGATAAACATACCACGGATAACTGTGTTAGACCTTTGTGTCTTCATGTTATTTCTACTGAACATAGCAAAAACTTCCAAGATTAAAACTTGGACTTATAACATTTTTTCTCCTTTTTGAATCGTACTGTTACTTTGGTGAAAAAGTCAGTAACGGCTGCAGATGGACTCAATAGCCGATTCCAAATGATAATTTTTTTACACATAAACTATACTTATGAAACTTTTCATCGTAAATTTTATTTTACCATAACTAATTTAAAACACAGAAAAACTGTTTAGTGAAACCTAGAGCGAAGCCATTGACTTTCAATTGCAGAAAATAAAATTGAAAGTGTCAAAAAAAATTATTGGATGAGAACTTTCCTATTGCGTAAGCCTAAGTTACCTTCTTATAATTCATTTTAATTTTGAAACTTTCTTTTCGGTATTTGAAACTTCATGGCTTACTCTAAGTTTGTTTGAGCACTTTTTTTCTATACTTTAAATTACTTATGGGTGCAAGAGAATTTACAATGAAAATTTTCTTCCGTGGCATTCTTTTAAAATGAAACGAATTAAGAGAAAAATACATGCACATTGGGAGTCTCAAATATTTAAGGAGATATTAAAAACGCAATGGAAATCTGACAAATTAAAAAGGTGCATAATCGTGTAACGACTCCGTTTCTTTCTAACCAGTCTTATTATATCCGCCTTCTAAACTTATGTTATAATTAGAGTTTTTATTTTGTCCTCTATTAAATGTTGCGACCTCAAATGAGTACTTTTTTCTTCATAGAAAATGATATTAAGGCATTCTTCACGAAAAACCCTGCCTGCCTGAATGCGTCATTTGAGTTTAAACCCAAGATTAGTTAATTTCAATACAAATTGTGAAATCTAAACTTTGACGTTAGAATTATTTCATTTAGAAAGAAACAGGATTTATATTTTGTTTTTAAAAATATTGCTGCAACGATATAAATAAGTATTATATCGTTGCAGCAATATTTTAGTACCAATGCTAGAATGAATGAGCTTAAAAACTATTTCTCCTTGTTTCATAAAATAAAATGGCCTTTTACTGACCAAAAATCATAAGATTCAGAATTCTTTTGCTTGCCAAGTATTTCTCTTATTTAATGGTATTTATCACCCCTTCGAATAATTATTCTAAAATATTAAGTTTTCAATTATTATTAAGAATTTAACTTAAAAGTGTTCTTTTATTATAAAGAAATCGCATAGTAATTATTTTTCTGGTATAAATATAAATAAAATTTTATATGGAAAAATTAATGAAAATATTTCACAACCAATTAAATATTTATTTTAAATTTTATAAATCACCTTCTTTATTCTATATACAATGGACCTAATCAGTAATAAAACCACAAGTTTTTTTTTTAAATTCACATTTAATGATCTAATGTAAAAAGAATAAAATACAGGTGGTTGAGAACACAAACACAATGAGCCCACTACTACAGCATATACAAAAATGATAAGTAAAAACCGAATTTTAAATTAATCCTTTACGCTCTAACATTTCCCGCATTAATTTCTTTAAATACTTAATTTCTGTAAGCAAATCATCATGCTTAGATTGCAATTTTTGTTGCTCTGCTTCTAAGCCAGAAACTTCATCAGACAGCCCCTTCTCCTCTATCCTCCTTTTTACTCTATAGCGGGCAGCTGCTTCTTTGTTCTGAATTTTCTTACGCTCAGCTTTATTGCTTCCCCTTTTTGAAGTTGCCTTAGAATATGGATGGAAAGCATTTTTGAGAGACACATGAACTTTAGGAATCTCCTTCACTTTCCCCACGTATTTTTTATTCCTGATAGAACTGGACACTTCTTCAATAGTCAAAGCCTCTGCGACCTCATCAGGTGACGCATGCTGTCCACCCACAACTGTGACAAACACTGCAGGCATGGTGTTTGGCCCATTTGAATCATAGGTAGATTCATAATTGCCTACTGACAAGTCGAAATCAGCAGAAATTTGTGAATCAATAGTAACTTCTGAAACACAGCTCAAAGGTGAATCAGCCTCAGATATTGGCTCACATTCAGGGGAGTAAAGATATTCAGATGGTGAACCAACTTCTGATACTACAGATTCAGATGGTGAATGCACTTCTGCTGTTTCATAGCCCGGAGAAGAGGGGTAAATTGAACTGCCGGGTGAAGCAACTTGGCTTTGAACATTTAAATCAAAATTAAAGGCATCAATATTGCTTGCATTTTGAATTTCTGAAGACAAATAAGAATTGTCCGAGTTACTGCCAATTATTGATAATAACTCATCAAAATCGGTCTCAGAAAACTGAATGTTCTTGGTATCTTCAAATATGGATAAATCCACCTTCTCATCATACCAGGGTAAATCTAAAAAATAGAATGAAGACACTTTGTAGTTTCTCTAAACAAAATAAAAAATTAACAACAAAAAACATATAAAGACAGATTCAACTGAAATAAAATTAGTTTTTCAGTTTAAAACTATTTGTATTATTTATGCAACTAGTTAGGTGTCAGGTAACAAATCTCACCAGGATTGTTGGTAAAAATAAGTTTACAAAACAATTTGAACACACTTTAAAATCAGATCCACAACCCTACAATATTATGCAGTCCTGCCTTTACATTTTCAATTAAAAAGTTTTAAACAGGGCCAAATTCTTTGCCAAAATGCAACTCTTTGGTATTCATTGCAGCGAATATTTGAAACTATTATATATTTTTCTTTTTTGTCGCATATTTGGTCAGCCGAATGTTTATTGAATTTAAAACAAGAAATAAAGTATTGGTTCAAAATTGTTACAGAAAAGAGAAGGCAATAGGTTCCAATCACTGTTGAAAAATAGGGGTGCGTTCTTCAAATTATCACTGTTGCAGTTTTCTACTTTCAACGAAAAAAAAGAGAAAAAAAAAAGGGAAAAGCTTCAAGACTAACACAAGAAACATAATACTGCTTTTTAACTAGTTCTTTGAACTAGTACGATGTAAAATTGTATAGGTAATCCCCCCTCCAGCATTTTCTTTAACTCAAACATGCTTGAAAAAATTAGCTCAAATTTATTTCAAGTGAAAGATACAGTAAAAAAATAAAATTAATTTTTAGACAGAAAGTTGAAAAGAATGTTGTAACAAAATCACAGCAGATAGTGAATAGCTTCAAATAATTTTCACATATAGCCACGTCTTGTCTTTTAATTTTTAATGCAAACTGTTGATGTTCTTATTAGATCAAGGAATAATTTAGTTGCTATAAGTTGCAAAATTCATAGCAGTCTTCGAAAAGTAAAAAAAAATTCTAAGTCATATAAAATAACATAGAAAACAATTTAAAATTATCAGCATATCTAAAAATTATTGCAAAAACAATAAGTTAGTCGGTTTACCTTCAACAAGCATGCGCCCCAAGAAATGAAACAGAATAATGATCTTAAATGCATTCTATGATTTTTCAAAATATTGTTCTACATATTGATAAAAAATTGTTTTCGGTTAAAAAAAAAAAAAAAAAGCTTTATTAGCTATTTTTTTTTAAACCAAAAACAATTTTTTTCATTCTTAAATATTACTGACTTACAAAATACAAAAATTTACATTACATAAGAATGTCTAATTTATAACCAAGCACTGTGATTTTATGAAAAACAAAAAAGAAATAAAATACACACTGCAGATAAGATATTAGGTTCTTTAAGTTTATGATAAAAAATTTAAAACCTGACAACTATTTTAATAACTATTGATTTTGTTCTTTAATTGACATATAGCAAAAAATCCGTAAGTCACTAAAAATAAATTATAAGTCCCTGGTCAGCCAAAAGCTAGCAAAAATGTATCTCTAACCACCCAGAGTTATAATTAATGAAAAGTACTGAAGTAAAATATATTAATGTATGTAAGCAATAAAAATCTATTTTATTTTGAAAATTCGGAAAAATAAAAATTTCAACCACATTTGAAAAATAAAATAAACATTTTTCTATGATAAATGAATGAGCATGTTAGTAACACCCCATGCATAATCAAACTAAGAGAGGGTGAGAAAATTTAAAAAAGTTTTGCTAATTATTGCGACTAATCAACTTATTTAATTTTAATTCAAAATTTTGCATAAATATTAACAATACTGCAAATTGCTGATATGTATTGAATTCTATTGATGAAGGCAACTATCCCAGAGTATTTCAGCTTTTACTTTTTTAGAGATCGAGATAGCAATCACATTGTTGATATAAATACAAATCTCTTAATAAATAATTAAAATTATTAAAATCAAATAAATATATTACCATTAAAGTCAGTAACTTGGACAGCTGCATCATTTGTCTTCCCATTCTCAAGATCAAAGTTTAAACTGAAGTCACTGAGCTCATTGGAATGAAAGAGGGTGGCATCTTCCAGCCACCCCTCCAAGTTTAGATCGTAATCCATCATTTTGAATGTTGTGTATAACCCGAACCACCAGAAATACAGGGTTGGTAGAGAAAACATCTTGAAAAAACCTATAAACAGACAAAAATCAATTAAGATAATTTCAATATTTGGAACAGAGATAAACAATAACAAATTGAAAGTTAAAAACAAAAACACTATGAAGTTTGCTAGAAGGTAAAAACAACTCTTCCTGTGTAAACAAAGTGAAATAATTAAAAACAATTAAAATTTAAAAATTTAGAAGCTGCAAGTATATAAGATATTTACATCACTAGTAAAAAGAAAATTAAGCAAGAAAAATCTGAAGGATTTTTTTCATAATATCTTAATATTGAACATATGCAATATTTTCACTAATTTTAATAAAACATGACAAATAAAAATAAAAAAAACTGATTATCTTTTTTGATTGATTTTCATTATTGTATAGCATACTCATGTCCATAAAATACATTATTCAACATTAAACTTTTGCTTACTATTAAAAATAAATATAAAAAAATACAATTGCAAGAACATATGGGAAAGGTTGTTAGTGCAGAGTAAAAAAAAAATTATTTGCATATATCTTTTTTTTAAAATCTTATTTCTTTATGACAGCAGTAGCTGATATAAAGAGGTATAGCAACAGTTAAGTAACTATAAAACAAACTAAAGCATTTACCTCAATATTAAAGAAATATTTTGGATAGACAATTTAAATCTTAAATTCAATCTTCAGATTAAAAATACTTTCAAAAATTATTCAAACTCTTAGATAATTTTATGGACATGAATGCATTAATGAAAAAAGCTTTCAGTAGATATCTGTTAACGTAAAATGATATTAAAATTTATTTCATAATTTCTTCTCAAGTCAAATAATTTTCAATGAATTTTCAGTAATTTGAATAAAATTGTTATTTTAGTTTTCTACATTTATAAAATTCATATAAACTAATAATCTCAAAATTTTATTTTAAAGTAAAATTTATAACTTTAAGGATAAAATTTGTTAAAAAAAAATAGGAACTTTTAAAATTTATTATCTTTCAAAAATTAATACATAAATTATGCATCATTAAACAAAAATATATCATAAACTAATTCTTGCACAAAATATTTAACTTAAAAATTTCTAAAATTAGAATTCTCAAACTAATAATAAAAATACAAGGACCTACCTACATTTTTTAAGAGTTGGTAGAAAAATTTATTGCATATAAAAAATATGAAGAGTTTGCACTTATGCAAGTTCCATTTTAAAAAATTTACTCTTTAAATGAAAAATGTTGAAAGAAATACTACTATTAATGTTCAGTTTTATAATTTCATAACAACCAACAGTACTTTTTTATGAGAACCAAATAGTAAACTTATGTATTTCGGTTGAATGAGGTAAAATCAATTTTGCAAAAACTTGGTACAAGGCCTTAAATTTAATGATATTAGTATTATGATTATTAAAAAGGATTATGAGACATCTATAAATTTAAAAATAATCTAAAAGTAAACTGAAATTAAAAACCTCTAAGGAATTAAAGAAAAATTTAGATATCATTTAGGAAATATTTATGAAATGGCCAATCAGTCTATTACTTGCTAAGTGCGAGAAACTTATTAACTAAAAAGGTACTTAATTTTAAGATGAATATGTATACTTTAATTAAATAAAACTTCCTATAATTAAAATTTCAAAGTACTGATGTGACATATTAAACATTATAAGTAGTTAAGTTAATGCTCTAATAGAAACAATTTGCTTCCCCTATGTAGCTACAAGACTACAGGCATTCTTACCTTATACTTTGTACTAGAGTTTGGACAAGTGCCAAATTTCCTGAACTATGTACGGCAACCCTTCAACATTGTGTATTTTATAAAAAATATGTGCAGTTAATATAAAATGATTGATTTCATTATAGGTTGAATAAAAATACAGGTTTTATATCACAATACCCATGAAAATAATACAATAAAAAAATTTCAGTAAAATAGATTTTTTCTTGGGCATTACCCCATTAGTACAAATATCAAACCATTTCATTAACTACTTGAGTAAAAAAATTTATTGCAAAAAATTACCATATCAGTAAGATTAGTTTTTTTTTCTCTCTCTCCAACAAACGGAGCTAACAATGCAAACAAATAATTTAAACCTGCTGCAATTAGATATAAGTCAACAGGTTAAGCAGGGATCTGTCTAGGTTTTTCTGAGAGGTACCTATTTTGTGAAAATTTAGACATAATTTGTGAAAAATGAAAAATTATATTTACAAATCCAACACAAAAATATGGATTTATCATTTCTTAAGAAATACAAGAATAAAATTTTAAGAAAAAGTATTTTGTGAAACTACCGTTTTTCCCTAAGTTGAATTTGTGAAGGTACCGCTATACGGTAGTAAATTCGGTCTGGACAGACCCCTGTTAAGCATACTATTTTCCACTGTTTTTGCCTTTTGTTCCTAACAAAGAATATGAACCACTTTTTTCTTAACTTAGGCCGGGATTTAATCTCCTTGTTAGAGGCTGAGTCTCAGATTGCACTTCCTTGGATCCGGAAGTTTTAACTCCACTCAAAGATTATACACTCAGCAATTTTAAAACAGTTGAAGTCAATGATCATTTGGGACGTATGTTTAGGGTATCTAGTCTTGCCCGCTATTTAATTTTGTGGAAATGTTATGTGCACAACACTGTTTACAACACTCATCATAAAAAAAAGGACTATAAATTAAAATATCCATTATCAAGCATTTTTAAAGAAAATTTAAATTTATAATTGAAGCAATAAAGAAAAAAGTAAATATTTTGTATTCTTTTACTTACTTTAAATTTATAACGAATGGCACAGCTGCTTATTAATTATCAACAAAATAGCAACACTAGATTTAAAAGCCACTAGAAATTTTAACATTAGCTAAATTAATTTACCACTTGTTTCCCACAAAACTATAAGCCATACTCTCTTTCTTAGGTTTTGTGATAGCCTATATTATTCCTATTTAGAAGCATAATAGAGTGCATAGATTCATTTATGATCTGTAAATTAGAGGTACATCAAAATTAAGAAAACTACTTGTACATCAAAATTATGAAAACTACTTGCTAATAATTATAAATATTAAACATAGGGTGATTCGATACAGTAATCAATTATTTTCCTCCCAGGAACTGCAACAAAGAAATATTGGCTAGCTACTAATTCTTAAACATCGCCAGCTAAAATCTTTTTTTTTTACCAAAACATGCCAAAAAATAAAATGCACGTGCCAAAAAAGGCAAAGTAACGACAAAGAGTTTACCTTTCTATGATTAGATTTAGTTTAAAATGCATAATATAATCTATAACAGAAATTTTATTTAAAAATAAAATTTAAATATTCATAAACAAAAATATATGTTGTTTACATTAACGTGGCACTATTTTTTTTTTTTTTATCTGAGGTAAAGATTTTACACATGTTCGTCATAAATATAAACTAATCTAGCTAGGAATACAATCGTTTTCATGCATTCTAGTAAATTAAGCAACAAATATTATTAAACAATATTTCTAATTCTCTTTTTCTTAAGGAAAAAATTAAAACCATCAGCAGAAGATTCAATATGGCGGATTTTATGTAACATGCCTTCATGTCAAACTTCCGTATTTTTATTTTTAATACAAAGAAGAACAAATCATTATAGTACTTACGCCATGATTATTCTTTTGTGCCGAAGCACCTTACGGTGCGGGGTTTGTGGCTAAAACTAGTCCATAGTTTTCACTATGAGCACCATTTGATAAATCGACTTAGCTTTTTGAATTCACATTGGAGAATAACAAAAATTATTTCCTGATCACAAACATACACATTCGATGACATCATTATTGTGTTCATCCGCGGTAATGTTTAAAAGGTTGTTTAAATAATACATAAAATAAAATTTAGATCTGAAATAAAATTTATTGAATGCATAGTTACAAAAAAATACTAAAAATAACTATTTTCTGACATTATGTTCTTAAAAACATAATTGTTTATAGCGAACTATATTTTGAAGCTATTTTTCTTATCGATTAAAGACAATTGCCTGAGTCATCGATTACAACGCAAAATAACATAGAGGACGCTAAACAAACCACATGCTTAAGGACGGTTTTCACTGCATTTTCTTCCGACAACTATCGAAATAGAATTAGAATTTGATTCCAGAGTTTTCAGCAGCAGTCTGCTCTTATGGATGGTTGACTGAATGAAACAATAACAAGTTTCCCAAAATCCAGAGCCGTTTTTAAGGACAGGCCTAGTGGGCGCAAGCCCAGGGCCCCAAGTTTCGATGAGGCCCCTGAAAAGTCAAAAGCTCAAAAACATTTTTTTTTATTAAACTTATTTGTTTAAAAAATGCTTAGCAAGTGAGAGGGTTTCAGATGACCATACATCTCATCGATCATGACATGCTACAGATGATGGAATAATACGTTCTTGTAGAACAAGAACATAGAAGGTGATGAGGACTACACTCGCTATAAAGTTTTGGAAAATAGGAGTTTCTTAACTTGTTTGTTATTCCTTGAATTTTGTTACCATGTTCCTTCCTGTTTTATAGTTCGTGTTCTATATTTCGAATTAGAGCAACATTAACACTAAGTTTGGTCATGTGCTCAGTTGAGTGTGAGAATCAAAACACATCAACTATATCAGTTTTATTTCGATTGCACCTAACAAGTTTTGATTGTGAGTATAAATTTATTAAGCATGTTTAGTGATTTTTGATGAAATGTGTAAGTAATATTATTAGAATTAAATTATATATAGTAAGTATTTTTAATTAGAATTTTCTTTCATAAATTAACATCAATATTTTAATGTTATTTTTATATATTTATTACTTTTTCCTTCTTAGTTTGGCAAAAGCCATTATGTCAGACAAGAGCTTAAAAGTACTTTTTAGAATAAATTTTAATATAGTTGTTATAAATTATATAAAAAATAACAATTATCAAACACGAAATTAGTTATTTTCTGAAAATTATAATACAATAATAGTAATTTTACACCTGTGTATGTTTCAAGGCTCAAAAAATTGCCACTCCTTAAGTTTGTGATGTTTTTTATGTCGCTTTTTCGCAACTATTAGAAATGCACTTAGTTCTGAAAGTTGCTTAAATGACCGGTAACAATCTAATGTATGCATTATAGAACATGAAAATATTTTTAGAAGCAAATATACTACAATGATTTACTTGTCAAGAAAAAGAATGCTTAATCTTAATGAATATAGTTTAAACTAATCAGCAGAACAACCAAATCAATTATTGAAAAGAAGGATTCAAAAAAATTATAGAAGTAATAAAGTTTTCAGCATCATGAAGTCTTGCATTTGTGAAGATAATCAAACAATTGGATCGCAGTATAATGGAAATTATTTGGGAACTTTTGAATTATTGAACAAATTTACCTTTTTCTTGCTGGACTTATAAAAAAATTATGGGAACAATGGCGTTAGACGTACACCCTATTTATCAGCTTCAATTTGCAATTAATCGAAGTTGAATCTATTGCGGGATATAAAGTATTAAACAAAATAAATGCAGAACTGAAGAAAGCAAAATACTTTTCAGTAAGTATTGGTTCAACACCAGACTTTTCCCACGTAGATTATCTGACATTTTCTGTCCGATATACGAACGACGGAATTCCCGGGGAACGTTTTCGGACTTTTTCCAATTGAAAGGCATAAATGTGAGTATTTGTCTGATACAATTGTGCCTTTTCCTATTGACCAAGGCATAAATGTACTGTCGAGGACAAACATAAGATAACGCACAAAAGAAAAACACAAGCCGCGAGATGCGTCTCAGAGGATTGTTTCCGATTTTTACAGAAACTTGGCTATTTTTTCTCCAGTTCCATCCATCCGTAGAATACCGAAACAGAATGCTTAGAATCAGGATTAGTCGTAAAGCGTCCATCGGATACTAGGTGGTGCACCCATTTGGATGCAGTAACGGCACTATAAAAAGTTGCGAAAAATTATGGCCGTTTTTCAAATTTCAGAAATGAACAAAGAAGAGCTTCTATAAACTGGATTCGATGCTCATGATCTTCTAAAGAAATTGAAGAAGTTGGAAAATATTATTTTACTATTAATTTTACATTTTTGATAATTGTCACGATAGTAACACGTTTTATTTTATTGAATAAAGTGAAAAAAATCTTTTTCGCATTAAATAAGTAATTATTTAATTCTCTCTCTCTCAAAATTTGTATGCTCGCTAACATCAAAGGGTTATGTTCACCAAAATATAGAGGCACTGCAATAAACCATAATCTGGGAGATATGAATATGATCCCAATTGTTTGGTCAAGAAAGCAATCCTAGGTTTGACCTATTAAAATGTTAATTTTACTTTTTGCGTACTTCGCTATATCTCGAGATCCTTTTTCTCGAGTTTAAAATTTTTTTCACACTATTATAAAATTCATTTATCCAAAGATCATTCCATGCAAAAAATAACTTTTAGTAAATATTTATTATTTTTTATAATTTTATCTAAGAATGGTCAAAAAATTTTTGAACTGCATGGTATACATTTTGAAGTATGTAATTTTATAATAATTCAAAATTTGAGTAAAATTGAACGATTTGACTCAAATTTTGTATTTTGCCATGTAAAATTATGTACTTTAAAGTGATTCTAAAAATTGCGCTCGAATACGCCATCATGGGAGAGACCGGTTTCATGCCTTTGGACAAAGCCTCTTAGATAGGGTGCCTAGGAGCCTTCGCTTTGGCCCTTCTCTCTCCTCCTCTTTTCAGTTGTATAGGAATGTACTACGATATTTCCCCTTTTCTCAATATTTTCCCCTTTTATTGAATAAAAATATTTTTTAAAATTTCTGTGGTGCTTCTCTTTAGAACTATGTTTAATGCATTTTTAATCGATATGAAAATCAAGAAAGAAACTTATGGTAGAGAGCTTGGCCACCAAAATATAGAGGCCCGCT